CCCCCCCCTTTCCTCCTCCTCCTCCTCAAGAGCAAGCCGACGTAACAAATTGTCGCACACTCTCTTGTTGTCCCTGCTCGAGGCTCGCGCTTCTCGCACCTCCGAGCCGCGAGTCGTATTCCGAAATAATAATAACATTAGAAACAAACGCCTCCAGCGCCGCCGCCGCCCGTTTCCCTTCCCGCCTTCGGCGGCTCTGCGACTTGCTTTTGGCGATTACTCGCAGACGCTGACCTCTCCTCCGGCCAGCTGATACGGGCCTTCGCTGACCGCTGACCCATACGTCCGTCTGCCGTCAGAGATGTCAGTCGCCCGCGACAGAACTACGTTACCTACTTCACAAAGACGTTCATTTGCGGCTACGACCAGCGCGCACGCAGGCTTGGAGGAGACAGCCACGCCACGCAGCTCAAAGACAAAGAAAAAGAAGAGAATGGCGTTGATCATGTCCGACCTCAGCCCGCAGGAGAGAGGCCCATCCAGCGCGCCCCAAACGATCCCGTCCACCTCGGCCGGCAAAAGCCAAAATTGGGTCCAATTGCGCGGCCCCCGCGCACTGTGCCTGGGCGCGTGGGCAGTCAGCCTGATCCGGGCCGGATCGCGACCGGAGTCCTGCGGCCCGGATAAGGGGCCGGGCGCCCGGAGCGCGGCAGCAAGGATCGAGGCGTTAATGGGTCATTTCCGGGGAGCTTCCCTCCGCCACTGGACAAGCTTGGCTCAGCCCGCGGCCCGGCCGGCCGGCGGGGGCTGCAAGTCTGCGGGGGCGTCGACCCGCAGTGGCGTAGCCGAGTTACACTAGTGCGAGAGAAAGAGAGAGAGAGGACGGTAAAGGTGTAAGTGAGTACGCGGCCGCCGCCGACCGCCAGCGATCGCCCGTCTGAAACGGCAGCGGCTTGCGGCGGTCAGCGACCAAAACAACCCATGAATGACAGTGTCATTATCATGGATGTCGGTGCTGCTCTCGGCGCCGCCACTGATCGCAAAATAGTCTGTCGCTGTCGCTCCCCCTTACCTCTCACTCTCTCAGTCACACACACCCCAATAATGTCACTGCCCCTTGTGGACACCACAAAACAAGCCCCTTCTATGCGGGTTGGTTGGATTCAGGGTTCCGGTATTCCATTTATCAACGTGACAGAGTTTCAGGCACTAGCTACAATTATCTGAATGTCTTGTGGGAGGGAAACGCATCTCAGACCTTAACAAACGGCTTACTAACCAACCACAAAGTTTGACGACAGGTTAAACGCAAAACTTATTCAGGCAAGCAATTGTAACGGAATACGGTTCACAAGAACCCATAGAACTACAAAAAGAAATAAACGGTCTAGGGTGTGTCACGACACAAATTTAACCACAAGATTCAAAATAAAATGCTCAAGCTAAGCTGTACTAAGAAATGCAACATTGTAAAAGCCAATAGCACACAATAAAGTTCTAGTCATAAATTGACTGAAACCATGCAGGGAAAACTAAAAAAATGTCATTTCCTCCAGGGAAAAATCAAAGAAAGATCATAATGGGTAAGGTAACAACAAAATTTACGATACTAAAAAGGCATAAATATTTAATGCATAATGATGCATCAACTGTACAAACTAATTTATCTTTGGGCTCTAGGTCATGAATGGGATCACAGTGCTGATCTGCTCAATAGACGGAAGAGTTACAGGACGAATGCCACCCTAAATATAAAGACGAAATATTAGCACAAAAGATTAGGCATGTTAAAATATTTCTGCAGGTTAGGTTCTCCACCTATTAACGGTTCAAACGAAGACCCCAGTCAAATATCAAGGCTGACATGGAAATGTAACTGTTCTTTACCTCCTTTCAAAGAATAAGCGACGTGTTTGGCCGCATTGCCACGAACCGTCACGAGGATACACGGTTTGAACAATGTCACTTGAGAGGGGTTGAAGGGTGATCCCACCCTTAGCAAAGGATCTCTCGAAGACAGGGCTGCAGCAGTTCAGCCGAGGGAGAGCATGCTTACCTGAGCAGAAGTTTGTCACGGAGCTCCGATTGGTGTGCCAAACTGGTTTCTTGGTCAAAGGAAAATTAAAATATCAGTGAATCACTCCGTTAAATCTTAACACCACCGCCTGTCAGTGTATTTACACTATTATTTGGTCTGTTTGCAAGGGAGGCCAGCAGAGAGCGCCACAAGTCAGTCTATGAGAAATTTTAAGGTAGGTTTAGGTGGCAGTGTTTTGTTTGTTTTTGTTTGAGTCTTGTGTTGACGTTTCTGTGTGTTCAAATTTCCTAGCTGCAATTATTATCTGCCGAATCGTTGTCACTCGAATTATATTTCTGTTTTAGTTCAGAATCGTATTGAAAGGCCTAAAACTAATATACATGGAATGATGTTGAGCTCTGCACTGCACAGAAGCTGTCTTTATGAGTAGGCTACCATAACCCGCCACTCACTGCACTGTCACTGCAGAAACTATTACCACAAGTTTAGTTTCATTATAGCTTGTAAAATGGCATCTCCTCCTTTTCCTGAAAAAGTAACAAATCTTAACATAGGTATTTTAGGTCATGTTGATTCTGGAAAAACTTCGTTAGCAAAAGCTCTAAGTGAGGTGGCGGGAACTGCAGCGTTTGACAAAAACCCTCAATCACAAGAGAGGGGTATTACCATCGATCTTGGCTTTAGTGCAATTATTGTTGACATGCCAGCTCACTTACGTGCCAAAACACCAAAGGAAAAACTGCAACTAACTTTTGTAGACTGCCCAGGACATGCATCACTTATCAGAACCATTATAGGAGGTATTAGAAATATGAGTATTTTGAGTAGTATACCAAGAGCAATGTAACATTTTTTTTTTTTTGTTGTTACAGGAGCACAGATAATTCACATGATGCTACTGGTTATTGATGTAACGAAAGGAATGCAGACCCAAACTGCGGAGTGTTTGGTGATAGGAGAAATAATGTGTAAAAATATGATAGTTGTCCTTAACAAAACAGACTTGCTGCCGAAAGAGAAAAGAGATGTGCTTATTGAAAAGGTAACTTAAGACGCAATTCCTCATCATAGGTAGAAGCTGGGGCCAGTTGGGTTGGAATCTCATCAGTATAGTACTAACAAAATTTGCAGATGAAAAAGAAAATGTCTCTGACATTGGTGAATACAGTATTTAGGACAGCGCCCATTATTGCTGTAGCTGCCAATCCTGCAGACTCTGAACCCTTGAAACAGAATTCTACTGAAGGTAAGGGTCCATTAATTTCCCAATCATTGTCAGTTGTTCCATTTGGTCTCTTTTCACTTGACTTTTCTTCTCTCAGATCTCTTATTTCTGTTTCCTCTTATTGCAACTTCTTTATATGATTCTCTTTGCAAGACATGTGTAAGTTCAAAACTAATTAGGCACTTAGTTTATTATTAACACTAAACATAGAACTGTTCTGATTCCCCTTTATTACTTTCAGGCCTTGCTACTTTGCTGAATATGCTGAAAGAAATGGCTTACTTACCAAAGAAGCAACTTGAAATGCCTTTGATATTTGCTGTGGATCATTGCTTTAGTATTCGTGGTCAAGGCACAGTTTTGACCGGAACTGTTCTTCAAGGAAAAGTCTCTTTGAAAGATGTAAGTAAATCTAAGATCAAACTATTCTTTAAAAAATGAAATCATAAACAACTTTGAAAATAAATCTGTTTTTTATTTTTAATAGGAAATACAAGTACCATCTATTGGCTTTACTGCCAAAGTGAAATCAATGCAGATGTTTCGACGGCCAGTGACTTGTGCTGAAGAAGGAGATCGTCTCGGAATATGTGTGGCCCAACTTGATCCTAAACAACTTGAGCGGGGACTTGTTTGTCATCCTAATCATATTCCTTTTATGTGGGCTGCTATTCTGCATGTGCAACGCATCAAATACTTCCAGGGAAATGTGAAGTCCAAGGATAAATTTCATATTAGCATTGGTCATGAAACAGTTATGGCTACCCTCACAGTATTCAAATCAGTAGAAACCTCTACCGATTCCTCTAACTCTTTTGAACTTAATTCTGATTTTGAGTTGAAAGAAGAACTTGAAGAGGGTAATAAGAATTTCATGCTTCTTCAATTTGAAAGACCAATATTGGCCCCACCAAACAGTTTAGCGATTGGATCCAGACTCGAAATGGATGTAAATGGGCATGCCTGTCGATTGGCATTCTGGGGTACAATTGTTAATCAAGTGGTGAGCAAAGATTATGAGAAAGATTTTCTCCCATTGCTAAAGATTTATAAACTTAAAGAAAGGAGAGGGACAGTAGAGCGTGTGGTTAAAGATAATGCAATCATAGTAAAGAATCTCATCAAAAAGGAGACCAATGCACAGATTTTTGTCGGTCTCACTGTTGAGTTGTCTAGTGGAGAAATTGGGGTGATTGAAAGTACTTTTGGGAAAAGTGGAAAGCTTAATGTGTATGTACAAGGTAAGGCTCTTTACCCCTATGATGAACCAGTAATATAAAACCCTAATCTAAACAAAATTTAATTTTGCATTTCAGATGGCCTGAAACCAGAAACCATAGAAAAATACAAAAAAGAAGAAACGAAAAAGACAGCTGGTCCAATTGATGTTGTTCTAAAGTTCAGAAGATATATATTTGATGTAGAAAAGAAAATTGTCCAAAAATAAATAAGTATTATAAATTATTTTTTGCATTAAATGTAAAAAAAAAAATCTGTTTCCTTGAGATTAGACAGTTACTGAAGCTTACATCCTTCCATCCCTTCCGATAAGTTGCCTACGTACACGGCGCTAAATGGAAGGGGGTGGGTGACAAGGGGAAGGGGGGCGCGGTGCGGTGCGGGTGCGAGCGAATGAGAATGGCAGACAGACAGTTCTCAATGAACGTCACACAGGGAGAATATCTGTAGATTTTCGGGTACAGGACATCTCTTTCGTTAAAGGTGGACATACAAATAAGCAGGATGTCAGGAACTGCTTCAATTTTTTCTCCCCGCCTGAAGGCAGGTGTTCGAATGTCAACAAAACTCGATGCCGATGGAAATGAAGTTGAGGTTAGTAATATTACAATAATTACGTAAGAGAGCAAACAAACATTAATAAATGCAAATGCGTTCATTTATTTTTCTAAAGTGACGTGATTATTTGAAATAATTTTCTTAAGTTTCCTTATCTTCAAAACTGTCATTCTTTTTATTCAAGACAGTTGTGTACATTCTTAAGTTTTGTATTGTTATTGTTGTTTTATCGCTTTTCATTTGATTTTTCTCCTGTAAAATTTACTATTTTGTCAATAGGTGGAAGTTCGTGAGGATGAAGAACAACAAATTAAACTTCAGGAAACGCTTGACCTACTTGTTGCTGCTGGCTACTTTCGAGCTAGGATCAAAGGCTTGTCACCTTTCGATAAGGTAAGATTTCTTAGAGCTTTTGAAATACTATTACATACTTACTACTTTGTGTTTTAGCTCTATGTCAAATCCTTGTCTTTCAGGTGGTCGGAGGCTTGACGTGGTGTATTGAAATGTGCAACGTTGATATTGATGTTGACCTCCTCTTTCAAGAAAATTTAACAATAGGTCAAAGAATGTAGGTCTTACATATTATTCATTTACAATACTACCTTTGGAAATTCCTCTTTCCCTATTCATTCATCCATTGTTCTGTTTCATCAATTTTTGTTTCCAGCTCTTTAACTGAAAAAATTGTTGCTGTTCTGCCAGACATGAAATGTCCACACCGTATTGAACCTCATCAAATTCAGGGTCTTGATTTTATTCACATCTTTCCTGTCATCCAGGTTTGATCTCATCATCTTTTTCAATTTGCATCTAGAAACTGATTGTTATTTTTTCTGACATTACAAAAATTAATTTTCTTTTAGTGGCTGGTTAAGAGGTCTATGGAAACAAGGGCAGAAAGAGCAGAACGGATGCGTGCCCATGCTGTTGACCAATACAAACGATTCTATAGCACAGACACTAAAGATGCTCAGATTTTAGCTACTGCCTCTAATGTGCGACAAGTACAGGTTGGTATTTCCCTAGGAAGTCAATAAAATTTCTATGATGTCTAAACACAAATATCAACTCTGCAATTATATTTTATACCTTTTCTTTTCCAAAAGGAAACTTATCGCCCTCAGAGAAGATTCAGACGCCAAGTTCCAGCACAACCTGATGAGGATTTTAACACTCGTGTACACGGCACACTTCTAGAGTATGGGCCTTTGTCAAGTCCACCTTTTCTTGTATGTTTGTGTTCTTGTTTCTGTTTTAAAAGTGTAACCAAATCAAGTACTGCTTATCTATAAAATAAATTTGATTTTTTAATAATTTTTTGAAAGCAGGGGCGAGGCAAAGGGCAGGAAGCATCTGCTGACTCTGAATCGGAATTATCATCACAGCTGCAGGAACAAGAAAAAACCGAGGAGGTACTTTCCTTTTTTCCATTGAAACTTTTCTTGTAAGATTTGATTTCCTGTAGTCCTTTGACTTTAATGCAGTTTCTTGAGAGTTTCTGAGTTTGGGATGTTTTTCTGTGGTTAGATGCTTAATTAATTAATCTTCTTATCTTGTAGTCTTTAATAGCAACATTTTTGTCATTGTTTTTTTTTTTTTTCATTTCTGTGTTTGCTTAAGCCTTTTTTTTTTGTTGTATTTTTGTCATGCAATGTGTTGTCTGTGTAAGTAACTGCCCGATATTTTGTCTAGCTTCGTGTGAAAGCTCTTATGAAGAATATGGCATCAACAGAGGATCAGGAGGTAAAAGCTTTAGTAACAGCATTAGTTTTGCATGTTCTTTCTTTGCTACAATTGAAGTATTTTTCTTTATCCATATGCATACTCAATTAAAAGCTAAACTTACCTTGACATGACTTTTTACTGATTATGTTTGAAAAGTTTAAAATTAAAAATAAAAAGAATTTTTTTCTTTTCCATAGAGCCGCCTTTCAGCTGGATTGGTGGGCAGTATTGTGAATCTTCAAGCAGAAGAGATTGCCCAAGCTGCCCGACACTATGAAAAGCTACAAGCTACTTTTGAGGTACCACTTAAAACTGTTTCCTCACCTTTTCTTAAGAGCCTCATGCCCTGTTTCAAATGAAACACCATTAAAAAATTAATTCCAGGCTGCACCTCAAACAGCATCTGCAAGGGCCCTGCAGGCCCTAACACGTCAACAAGAAATGCTCAAAGAAAAGGAGTCAAAACTTCAAGTAGAGGCGGAGGAGCTTCGTCGTTCTCTTCAAGAAGCAGAAAATCGAATTGTGATTGCTAAAAACCAGCAGTTTGACCTCAATGAGCAATTGCAGCAATTGAATATTACTGGGAATAGGAGGTAAATTAAGACTTTTTTCCCCCATTGAAAACATATTTCTTAGATTATATCTCTCTACACTAATTTATGTAAACTTTACAGTACTGTGCAGAAGCTGCAGTCCTTGGTAGAAACATATGATAGCTTAAAAGAGCAAGAAGCTCGTTTTCGTGACCAATGCAGATCAGAGCTTGCTCGCCTTCAAGCACTTGCTGCGTGAGTGATCAAATCATTGTTTCTTCTCGTTTACCTTAGTTTTTATTTCTTTATTGTAATAGTCAATTATTTTAATTTTGTTTGTCCTTTCACAACATTACTATCAATTCTCTCTGTATTTCAGTGAAGCAGCTGAAGGCCGCACTGGAACCGAGGGCATAGATGTAACTGAGCTAGGATCCACCCTTGCATCTGAGAAGGAAGCATTAGTTTCTGTGAGACTTCGCTTGGCTCGTGCAACAAGAGCCGCGGCATCACTTCAACGTCAACTAGATGATGTTCCTGGTCGCGCTGAGTTAGCACAGTACCAGAGGAGGTTCTTAGAACTTTACAGTCAAGTTGCTGCCAAGCACAAAGAAACAAAGCAATTTTATACACTGTACAATACTCTATCTGACACCAAGCTTTACATGGAAAAGGAGCTAAATTTATTGGATTCAATTCTTGAAAACTACCATGAGTAAGATTTTATCTCTTTGCTTGTGGGGAAAATTGGGAATTGTGTTATGGCCACTACTGTCTGTGGATTTCAAATTAATATTTTGTATTGTTGCAGAGCACTTTCATCTCCATCCATGCGAGAGCAATTCATTAAACAGTTTGAGGGCATTGTTGAGAATGTCAAACAAAACAAAATGAAGGTAAGTTTGTTCAAGAAATACAAAAGCCATTGCCAAAATGGATTTTAGTTGAACTTACAGCATCCAAAATTTGTCTTGCAGATTGAGCAGCGTCGAAATGAAGAACGAATGAGGAGAGACAAACTTAACAAACAACAGGTTGCTCTTCTAGAGCTTGAAAGAAGCTATGTTGCGGCTGTGAGACAGCTGACAGTTGAATGTCGTAAGAATGCTGTCCTCCTCGCTCAGTTGCGTGCATCAGAGACTATGAGCAAATAATGCTGTGCTTTTTCTCTTCACAATTGTTTTGTTTTTTTGTGTTTTTTTTTTTGCAGAACATGTATATTTCTAGTCCAAGCAATGTGAGAATTGTTTATTTGTGATACTGTAAATTCACTTTCTATTGTGACTGATGATTGTTTGTTTGACATGTTGGTGAAGTCGTTGATTGATTTTATAATTTTTCATGTCCATATCAAAAGTTTTTCCATCTTACGTATACGTATAATGAAATGTTGTGGTATCTCTAATACATTTTACATATTTTTTTTCTCAGAGAAAAATCCTTTACCAGAAACATTCCAGTGTACTTTTGTGCACATGTTATTAGCATGTTGTTATGTCTGTTTTGAATTTTGTATCTTCACTTTTAAATAAACTTGCTTACAGTTACATTTTCAACCAGAGAATTATTTTTAGCCCCTCCTGAACAAACGCGCCCGTGATTGACTAAACCTCTACCATTCCGCAAGTCAAGTCCAGATACAATCAAGTGACAGGGGCGGACTTATTTATATTTTGGGAGGGGCGGGTTGGTCGGTCTTCCCAACCGTCAGATAGCCATCAGCCTCAGATGACACGCCTGGAAGAAGCCTGCATGCGCCTGTACGCAGGCAACCCGCGCGACATCGCCCCTCCGTCTGTCGAACTTTAAACAGCCCATGGCAAAGTGGAATGGCGCGAGTGTGCAGCGTCCAACCTCCCCCCTTTTCGAGTCACTTACTCGAACGAAAATGAACGTGGTAGCTCAGTCTTCAGGTATCACAGTGGACGCACCGGAGAAGGCATCTGCTGGACATGGCCTTCCCTTGAAGACGACACATTTTAAAAATATTTTCTTTCTGTCCAATATCTCAAACGCTTTATGAGTCTTTTAATAAATATAGAGTGTCGGATTCTTGAGACTCGGTGTCTCCTCTCTACGTGGAGGGTGGAGGGTGACAGCGTGGGCGCAGCGTCACGCCCAGGACCGGCGGCCGGTCCATGCCGCCCTCCCCGGACCCCTCGAGGTGCCCCC